TTACAAAGCTTCCAGCTTTGCTCACTTTTTCCTAATAAAAGGGGAGTAACTCACTTGCCTTGGAGGAAGCCACCCTTTGCCCCATGGTGGCAGTTTACGTCATCACTTAAAGCTCAGCGTACAGAGCCAAGAGAAACTCTTCCAACATTCTATTACTAACAGCAGGGCAGGCTGGTGACCTGCAGGGTGAAGTGAACGGCAGGTAGGAGGAAACCCATCCCAGCCTAAACTCTTCCTGCCATACTGATTAGAGGTGGGCTTGCCCTCCTGGCCTGCACCTACAGGACATTTCCACTGCAGCGGAGTCTGTGGTTGCAAAGATGACACAATGTTTGTTTGCTAAGATGAACAGTTTCAGGCAATGGTTGCAACACAAATTAACTATGTAGAAATGACAGGCTCACTTACAAGTTCAAAGGATCATACCGTAAGGTTGTTTGACAGTAAAACTACTACACTCATAGACAGAATTTATGTAACACCTGCAGTCCAGACAAAGGAGTTGACCTTTTCTGCGAATTTCTCACTTCACTGGAAGTGACAGGAACGTCTTTATCGGGATAATTTATCATCTCTTTCCCGCACAAGTATAGAGATTGTGTTTGCAAGCCAGTTTTAATGTTTACAATGTGTTGCTTGTTCATACACTGCAAAAAATTATTTTCTCATTCTGCATTTTTGCCTTGTTTTCCATTACAAATATCTAAGCATTCTTAAATCAAGATACATTTATCTAAGAAGGAAAATGACTTGAAGGATATTAGGTCTAAATCTTGTTTTCTGTTTGAATTAAGTTTACTTTTCCTTCCCAAGCATAAACTGACTTAATTGATACATTTCTCATAAAACAAGACTTAATATCTTAAATCATTTTGATTCTCAAGTAAATTGTTTCTTGATTTAAGAATGTTCTGATATTTGTACTGGAAAACAAGTCGAAAATCCTGAGTAAGAAAATAATTTTTTTGCAGTGTATTATCTTGTATCATTTGTCAGCTGCTTAAAGGTATCTGTTAAATGAATAGCTGATGCATACAAATTCTTTTAAAAATCAAATTTCAGGTTAAAATATATATAAATGTATAAAGGAAAATGTAAATCTTGTCCTGTAACTGGTAAATGCAGTTTATCACCATTTTAAATCAGATTTCATCTTCACTATAGCTCACTTAAAGGGATAGTTTACCAACATTTTTTAAAATTCTGTCTACACCAGTGATCCTCAAATCTGGCTCGCGAGATCCACTTTCCTGCAGAGTTTATCTCCAACCCTATAATCAAACAAATCTACCTGTGATTTTCTAATGATCCTGAAGACATTGATTAGCAAACTCAGGTGTGTTTGATTAGGGTAAAGCTAAACTCTGCAGGAAAGTGGCTCTCGCGAGCCAGATTTGAGGATCACTGGTCTACACCCTCATGCTGCTCCAAAGCTGTATGATGTTCTTTCTTCTGAGGACTATTAAGGAAGATATTTTTAGAAATTTCTGTTTCTTTTTTTGTCCATACAATGGACAATAGTCACCAAAACTGTTCTTCAAAATATCACCTCATGCAGGTTCGGAATTACACGAGGGAGAAAAAAAAAGTTAAATAAAATACAATTGTAATGTAGAAAAGAAGTACAAATATATAGAAAGCAGTCTCAATTAATATGAAATCCTAAATACTGCATGCATAATTGCAAAAATAAAATAAAATGTTATTTAAAATATGTTTTTAGATGGAGTTTGGCATGTCTCAACAAAGGACTATTTCGTGTCAAAAAACTACACAAACTACCCAACTACAAATCAAATATTTTAAACCCTGAAAGCTTATCAACTGATGCACTTAAATGTCTTGTATAAATGTGTGTATCTTATATATGCTTGTTCAGGATTTTACAGCAACTTAAGTTGAAATCAATAACAAACCAAAAGACAAAAGCAGACTAAATGCTCCTTCTGTACCAAAGCCAACAAAACACATTAGAAAGCGGGAATATTAGAGCCAATAATCCAGAATAAACAATCTCAGCAACCACAACTTTGGGTTCCCTTCTGCCAGCATTTATCTGAAACACAGTCAACTACAGCTGAGAAGAAAAACTGAAACATGAACTCGAGATAGATAACCTGGCACAATGTAGCTCTTTAATCTGGGAACATCTCTTCATGAGAACGCAAATCGTGACTTAAGTAGAACTGAATCATCAGGCAGTTCGAGAAACATCACCTGCTTTTGTGCAAATGATAGGTGCATCATCAGTGACAGTTTAAAGACTTCAGATGGACACGATACCAGACAGAGAGAACGCACACATGCACAAACCGAGTCTGATCACAACTTGTTGCTTTTATTGTGCGTTAGTGAGTTAAAACCAAGCTCAACATTTCCACTTTATCAAGTAATTTTCACGCACATCCAAAGTTAGAGGTTCTCTTTTACTTTCTCCATCGTTATGCGATGGGTGGATGCTGATATGCGTCCAGCTGTGCCCCATTCAAAAAACACAAAAGCGAGGTTGAGTTTTTAACACAGAACAATACAGATACGTTTATTATCTAGGTGCTGCTTAATTATCAAACAAAATATGAACACGAATGCTTAATATAATCGGTATTGTGTGAAAGAAATACCTCCACACACACCGTTAGCAGCGCGCTAACGCTAACAGCCCCTCAACGCTTTTGTTCTGAAAACGCCGGTAGCAGACGAGCACTTTCCTTGACAAAGTAACTTTCCACACTGCATGAAAACCACATTCACAACATAATATGCCGGGCGTTAACTTATATTGATGACATATTGAATATATGTGAGACGTTCTTGACTATAACAGCTTCAAAACTAAACAAATAACGTACTCAGCGCGTTCCCCGCCGTCAAAAACATAAATCGCGCGGATTACCAGAGCACACACGATTTCACAAAGCTGTTAAACACACAGTTTTATCTTAGTAGACGACTTTCTGGTGGTTTTCATATTGATTTTTCATACTCACCGATTTGTCAGACTCGCTCCATGCGATTCAGCGTGTATCCGTGTGTGTATGGGTGCATGAGCGCACTCAAGCGCGGAGATTCCCCTGCTGCAACCATGGAGACGTAGCGTCACCCAGAGCAACCGAGAGGGGAAAAAAATAATGTGTAAAAAAGCTTGTTAGAATAAATTTTCAATAATTACACTAATGCATATTTATTGTTTTGATTTACATGAATTTGAATAAAAGACACGTGAGTTAATAGAAATTAATATTTAATATTTGCACTTTTTAAAAGTTACAATAATTGAAATAGATTAAATTTAGTTAAAATGTAGTAATTAAGTATATTCATATTCACTTCAAAACATACAGGTTCAAATCTCCTGCCGAGCTAATTATTATAAAATATACTAATGTTGCGCCATCTAGTGTGCAATGATGAAAATGTGTCAGTGGGTCATGTAATAGAATTAATCTCATTGAACTATTAACGTAAAATTTAGCTTACTTTAACCATGTCATCTGCAAACATTTTCGCATATGACATATGGAAATATAAATGACGTCATATTTCCAAAATAGGCTACTCAAATGAATAGTACAGATGTCCTACAAAATAATAATGTACAATGAGATTTATTTTATAATTTATCTTCTTTTAGTGTGGTATCAATCATCATCAATTAAATATCAATTAAATAATTAAAATGAGGTCATTAGATTTATTTTTACATCGTCCTTTATAGGTTAAGTACTCTGTCTGGTTTAGAATTTATGCAGGTCATAGCCTAATAAAAGATGAGGCTCACATATGTCCAGCAACAGATGGAAAGTCCACGTCAGTTGTGACCTCTGGAAAGAATAGTACTATTGTTTGAGTTAAATTATAATAACAGTAGGCTAAACATTTTTGAACACCCAAAAAAAAAGACTGCCTCTTCAGTATTCTAAATGCTTCATTAAAGCAGTTTGAATCCTTGTGAGATGAGAGGACTTTGGCAAACAATTACATAACAGCAGGACATTACCAACATAAAACAATTGTTCATCAAATATAGCCTGGAACTGTTGATTCAGTGACTGTTGAAGAAACTGCATGCAGGTGACGCCTGAATCCTTCTGCATCTTTTATTTTATTTTAATTTTGTCAATTTTAAGTTTAGATTGGGTATTACTGTTAGAATGTGTCTTTTCATTCTTATATTGTATGTAACTGTTTTTGCATAAATGAATAAATCTTTTTTTTTCTTATAAGACCAATTAAATTTTAAATCAGGGATATTTGGGTTTTACAGATCATGAAATAGCTGTCTCATGGCAGATGGCCTGTTCAGATATTCATATAACAAAATATATACTTAATACCTAAATAGGGACATAGTAGTATACTTAAAGTATGATGTAAAGTTCACTTAAAGAAAACTTACGAGTATACTTGTTGTTATACTTAAAGTATACTTTTATACACTAGAAAGTGGGCCAATTTAGTCCCAAGGAGTATTGAAATAGTACACTTACAAGTATACTACTAGTACACTGATATTTGTATACTTACTACATAAAGTATACTTAAAAATATACTTGAACTTTACTTAAGTATACTTAATAAAATAAACTTGAAGTATACTACTTTTTGGTAAGAGATATTATGGTTTCAGGTCTATCAGAGCATCCGAAGGCATACGATTAACTAAATCCTTCAGATTTATGTCTCAAAATTGAAAGTGAATGGTCACTCTTACTCATTCTGTCAACAAAGACAAAAAACATCTTTAGGTTGATTTCCCTAGCACCTAAAACAGGAAATCCATTTAAAATCTGCTCAAATCGGAGCAGATCAGCTCTAGGAAATATAATGCAGACAGCTTTAATCAGCACCCTATGGCACCAGACTGGCAGAATGTAGGTCAGCATGTCACTTGTAGGGTCTGAGGGGAGCAGAGTATGTTTATGATCTGCCATCTGCTAGAGCAACGTAATGGACATCCACTGCCCATAATCCAACCTTCCAGAACAGCATCCCGACAGATTATGACCTCGCTAATGCCTGGAAGGCCATCAGCCAAACCTAATGAACCTGTCGTGCTGTTTGATTGGAACGCCATAGTGTTTGACCTCCATATTGTTCCACATGTGTGAGGCTGTTAAAGAACTGTCTGTTATTATTGTAGGTATACCTACCCTTCTATGGATCAGCTCTCAGAAACCCTCCCTATGGTCCTCAATCATTTTGGGTAAGTCTTAAATGCTTAAAACTGGTATGTTTAACTCTTATTTTTGAGGCTTGTAGTGGTCTTGATCCAAACCTACCTGAATGCGTGCTCTTTTTCCCTCATACTCTGAAGAGTGTGATTAGAATGGCGGTTGGAGCTGGAGCCAACATCCTTGCTCGCTTTGCAGTGAGTTTTATATAATTTTCCTCTCAGTTGCATTTTGAATTGCTTTGAATAGCATGGATTACAATTCTGCAGCTTTGGCAACAAAGCAATTTGCAATGTTATCCTGCTGATTATTATCGCCAGGTGTTAAATCAGTTGTTAAATCACAGGAATGTTTCCTTTTGATAATTAACATTTTCTATTATTTTGCATTTTTGCATTAATTATTGATTTTTGCATGCGTCTCTTAAAGCTCAAACATCCAGACATGGTGGAAGGTCTTGTTCTGATTAATTTGAGTGTGCAGGCAGAGGGTTTCATGGACTGGGCAGCACAAAAGGTATAAAACTGATTTTTTTCCCCTGCTAGATTTGCAATCTCATGAGATTTGAAATGACTGCATTATTAAACTCATTTGAATGAGCTTATATAATTGTTCAAAGCCATGCCATTGCACAAATCATCACTAAAGCGTTACATTCTCGGCAGATTACAAGCTGGACTCATGCTCTCCCTGATACAGTCATTTCACACCTGTTTGGAAAGGTAAGAACTGAGGAAGCCTATGAATAATTTGACTGATTAATAATGAGCTTTTGAAATGATAGCCTGCAAGTTAATTTTGACTGTTTTGACAGGATAATGCTAACAATTACTTATGTTGTAGGAGGAGATACAGAACAATCATGAACTGATCGCAACCTTCCGTCAATCTTTAATTGCAAACATTAACCAGTCCAACCTGCAGCAGTTCGTCAAGTCCTACAAAAGGTATCACCAATGCAATCTGTGTCTGCAGTCGCTCAGCTCCTGGGTTTGATTCTTTAAATACAATTTATAGTAACTATATCATCCATATACTGCAATGCTGCAGAGAAAACAGTTGTAATTCACCAACAAGTTTCTGAAAGCCTCATCTTTCCATCATTTCTCAGCCGACGGAATCTTGAGATTGAGAGACCAGTACAAGGAGGAAACGTAAATGCACGAACCCTCCAGTAAGTCCCACCTGATGACAGTAGACATACGAGATTTTGACAAGTGCCTAGACCTTAAAATTGTGCTTCAATCACTAAATGATTTGTCTTCATGTCAGGTGTCCAGCTTTGTTGATAGTGGGTGATAATTCTCCAGCTGTGGATGCTGTGGTGAGAACTGCTATTTCTTTACTATCTTAAATATGTTAGAGACTCCCATAGAAATATAATGTTACTCAACGGTGATTGGTTTCAACAATTTCCCAATTATTGACTATAAACTGTAAATAAATTTAAACCAAAGCAGTGTGCAAAGCATTACAATAATGATTATATAAACATTTCACAGGTTGACAGCAACTCCAGAATGAACCTAACAACAACAACATTTCTCAAGGTCAGTGACCTTACCATCCTTTGCATTCACTCAAACACATTTAATTTACTAATAGCAGCTAATTTTATATCCCAACAGTTCATTGTTATCTTTGTTCCAAAGTGTATTTATTTAATATTTTGTCAAACATGAGACATATAATACAGTTAGACATCTTTTTCATTTTTTTAGATAACATCCCTACCCACAACAATTTGGGGATTTTTCTTTCCATTTGGGCAGTATTAACCTCCGGGCTAAAAGCATAGCAAAAGCAATCAGATTTTTCTTACTTTGATTATCAAAGTAATGGTCATAGGATGGCCATTTTCCACAAGTTGATATGATTCTTTAGGGTCTTAATGAAAAGTCTGTAACATAGTTTGGTTAAAATTTCTCAATGGTAGTGTAAAAAAAAC